ACTGATGATCATAACAGTCTGTTCCTAATTGCCTGACAATCTTTTAATCGATTATTCAGCTCATGGTTTCAGTTTGAGTTTCTCCTTCATGTCCATATCGGATGCTAAATGTAACACTGAAGCCGAGCTGTAGTCTACAGGATGTATTCCCGATATGCACATTATGGAAAACCATACATGAGACAGTCTCACATGCACACAGGTTGACCAGAAAAACCTCCTGGAACAGCTCACTAATTGGGTTGACAGTGATGCATTAAAATGGGTCATCCTGTAATTGCTCTTTCCTGTGGCTACTGGCCGGGCCGGGATTACATAACGATGATAAAGCTGCCGACCTGGCCTTCCAAGATAAAAGCTGCCATGACGGACCCCGTGCATTCTCTAAATGCTTCATCTGAAGGAAGTGATTACCGCAGAGCTGCCCGCTAATGCTCCAGCGGGACCCGACGGAGGACTCTGTTATTCATCAAACATGTACAGCATGAGGGGCTGGCAACTTTGGAAAAGCACGAATAATGAGTGGGCATGTTATTGTGCAATGATAAGCATTCTGTTGCATTTCATGAGGCGACAAAAGAAGTTTCAGCAGCTCTTATAAATGGACTCAGGCGCTTCAAAGCAAAGTGACCACAGAGTCCTACAGGGACTTAATGAATGGCCCCATTAGAGACTTAAAAGCGAGTCCTTTGCAGGCCTACTGAGGCCGGCTCCAGGCTGCACATCGCCATATGACTAAATCAGATGCTATGGCGGACAAATATGGCCTCACAGCGGAGAGCGGCACAAAGGACACTCAGTAGTCTGCAGGACATACTGCCGCTCTGAAGACAATGTGGCCCCTGTGCGGGGATGTTGTTTATCTCATCAGGCGCTGGCGCTGTCGGGCTGTGGTGCGACTTAATGCTGTGAACTTATGCAATGCCTGCAGGAAGGGAGGCCCGCGAGGCACGCGAGAGCTTCTGCAGAACAGGAAATGATGAGAACAAGTCAGGGTGACGTCGTGCCACTGCCAAATGTGTGATGGAATGTAACAGGAATGAAGAGTCATTCACGAGGGAATCCAGCTGGGTATCACCAGACAATAGGTGGATTATGGGAGTTAGAGTTCAGCTTTTGTGTACCTTTTTCTGTCTTTACTTTGATTAATATGAAAGTGTGTGATGTACGACCCATGGTCTCAAATTCAAAGTTGAACAACTCTTCACTGACTTCATGATCGTCATCTTGTAAAGCAATGGTTTGAAACTCCTCCTCCGTTCAACTCCCTAAGGGGTGAAGACAGATTTAAAAAATAAAACAACATTCTGTTACAAATCGTCATGTTTATTTTTGACATTTCTGCGTTCTTGTGTTGTGAAATACACTCTCACCCCTTCAAGCCTCACAATCTAAATTTGGCAAATTACTCAAGTCAAACTCGGGGACAAAGTGATGTCGATTGAAAACAACTCTGAATGTTGTTTTCTGCCGAATTCTGCTAGCCAGTCGTAACTACGGGCTGTAAATATTCATGTTTGAAGCCTGAGTGACGTCACCTGGCTGTTCCTGCAGGGGGCGCTGGAGTCCCATCGATGGTGGCCTCCATGCTGGAAATGCTGTCTCAGTCTAACTTTCAGTCAACCTAACAACAGGCTGAGAGCTGGAGCTGAGGCGGGTTTTAAACCTCCTGACAAACCGTTACACCGCGACCACCTGTCAATCAGGTCAGCTACACGCCTTATTGTGAATAACTCTTATCCTTCATCAAATCAAAACTGATGAGTCATCAAAACATTCACCCCCCCGTACAGTGTGTGTCCATCGAGACATGAGCTAATCACACCTATTTGGTTTTTTGAACCAGGCTGTAAACATGTTAATCTCTGCTGTAAAAACAGGCTTTTTAGAATGGGTGTGTATGTGACTTCCTGTGCTTCTGCAGCCAGCCTCTAGTGGACACTCGAGGAACTGCAGGATTTTACACTTCAGCATCAGCTGCAGGGGTTGCCACTTGGTACAAACCTAAATTTAAAAAACTCAAATTGTATATTAAGAGTATGCATCGTCTGAATCGCCTCACAAACTCTTTCCTTCTTGGCTTCCTGCATTAAATCACAGCCTTCACATTTATATCGAGGAACCATTTGCCTCAAGTTAAAAGCACTTTGGGTTACATCCTTCTGTTTTTAGATGTGCTACACATAAAGTGACCTGGCTCGACTCTTATGGACCCGAATATAATCAGAGCCTTTTGAAAAACCACTCTGCTTTTCCTTCATAGATTGAAGTATAAAGCAGCACGCGGTAAGATGGGGAGAATATCCTGCAGAGTAATAAAGTCCCACTGCAGAATAACTGAGTGTACAGAATCAGAAATGTGGGCTCTCTTGCTGTCAAGCCTCGAGAGATAGTGAGAGAGTGAATCAGTCCAAGAAAGAAGATGTGCAATGATTATACTTCACGTCACCACTAATGAGAGCTTTTCACAGGTAGACGTCACCTGTAATGTTCTGGGCTGAGGTTTTTCGGGTCATAATGAAGCGTTAAAAGTACAGGAGCACCTCTGTGTACAATAATAACTAAACTGGTCTAAAACAAATTCTTTAACTGTGGGGAACTACTCTGGAATATTAATTTGGCTGCATGCTCTTTCAAGTGCAAATGAGGTGAAAAAAAAAAAGAAGATTTTATTTTAACTACTGACACGCTGCACTTGTGGAACCTCTGCTCTTAACGGGGAGTACAACTTTGATCTTTTATTTTTTATAAGTGTAAAAACCCTGAGAGAGACGAGGAGAAGTGAGGACTAATGTTTCAGTGTGCCACGACTTTAAAAAAACAAAACAGGAATTTATGGATTCATTTATTTAAAGGTTTATTCTGGGGCTTTGTTGTAGAGAGAGGAGAGAGGATAGAGTTGGAAAACAGAGGGGGGGAACAACATGCGGGAAAGGAGCCACAGGTCGGATTTGAACAACTGCCTTGCTTGGAGGACTGCAGCCCTGGTACATGAGGGCACACACACTAACCACTAGGCTACTGGCGCCCCAAATTTATAGATTTATGTCCAAACAAGATGAATTAAATGAAGAATATGTGATTTTTCACTCTTAAATATAATATAAATCAAGTATATCCTCTGAAAATAACTCTGTGAGTCATGACTGTCTACAATGGGTGTAACACCCGAGTCCCACTGTCTGTGATGTTTTCAGAGTTTTCAGAGTCCTATCTTCAGTTTGTTTACATCGCCAGGACGGCCGGCTGACTCCTCCCCTCGAGTATAAAAGTTGTTTAATTGAGGGACTAGAGAAAAGAAGAATAACATACTGTACTCACTGCTTAACTGTGTTTCTAGATCACGCTCATTTCAGGTAAATTTACATGCAGTGTGAAGATACCAGCATAATAAAGATCGCTAGCATTAACATGCTAACACAACAATGCACCGCGAGTTGTTTTGGTTTCATGCTGGTGCTCAAGGGTGACATCTGCTGGATCAAAAAATTACATATTCTTCCTGTAAGGAGGAGGCTCCACTTCTCCACAGGGGTCAGACACTAAATGAGCGGAGATGTTGAAACATGTAATTTCCTGAATTATTGAGCAGTTTATCAGCGTCTGTAACATCTGTACATTGACTCGAGGTAATGTTGACTTCTACATCAGCAAAAACTAAAAAAACAAAAACTGATCAGGCATTAATCATGCAGATATGACTGCATACATGACAACATAATATAATAAAACAGTGCACATTTTCTTTTTAAAGATATGGGGGCAAAAGGCTAAAGGTCATACGTTAAGTTTAATGCATTATTTAAACGTTTCAGCTCCTCAGATCAGTGCATCGTAATGCTCATATCTTACATCTTAATGCTCAGGTTTGATTGTAAAGCCCTGTGAGGCAAGCTAGGAAACGAAAAGAAGTCAGAGACGTCGTGCCACTGCCAAATATGTGACGGCATGTAATAGGAATGAAGAGTCATATATCTCTCGCTCAGATTCAACTGTAAAGTCCAAATTTCCTACTGGGGATTAATAAAGTATTACTGATCCTGAAACAGAAAGGCTCCAACATATCTCAATACTCTTTTTATTATGAGCCATGTTTATCTGACGAGTTACTTAATAAGTGTTTGAAAATGACATATTAGAAAGTACATCTTATTTCCAGACACTCATTTGACGTCAAATGTTCTTGTTCCATTGGCAGATTATTTTGCTTTTTACAAGCCATTTAAGCCTTGTTTCCATACTTTTAATATCTTAAACGATGTTTGTTTGGACTCCTCAGATAAATATGGCTCATGATAAAAAAGTGTATTGACATATTTCTGATTAGAAATTAGACAAATACACTTAAAATCAGAGTTTCTGTAGTGTAAGATTCATGTTTTTTTATTTTTATATATATTTATATTTAAATCAATTTCCGTTCACAGTGCTTTGAATCTTTCCTGTAAACTCACGTGTGATGATAACAGAATAATATCAGGCCATCAGTGAGTCATGTGTTCACTGTAGAGGCTGATGTCAACACACAGTGAACTATGTTGTAAGTGTTTCAAAGTCACACACACACACACACACACACACACACACACACACACACACACACACACACACACACACACACACACTGTGCAGGATTGAGACTGTTTCGGCTCACATGCGCTGTCTGTGGTGAAACATGCAGCTCACAGAAAACACCGAGAAAGAGAACCAGGGCTCGAGCCTCTGCTGGGTTATATACAAGCCTATAAATAACCAGCCAATCAGCGACGAGCCGCTAGGAGTCAAACCAGCCAGTCATTACGCAGGAGGAACCAAATTAAGGCACAGGCGCGCCGTGATTGGCTGACTGTGATATCATTTGCAAACCCTTACGCTGCCCGAATGTGATTGGCTGCGACCCTGCAGGCGTAATCCTGCTGTGACGACGGGGAGGGGGAGGGGGGAGGGGGGCTGAGGGGCAGGGGGCGGGCTCTGAGGTTTGAATAGGGAAGTTTGCAGAGCGCAGTTGTTCCCCATCCAGTCCGGTGCAGTGTTTGCAAACACCCTGAGCGCAGAGCGAGAGAAGAAGGGGGGATCACTCACTCACTGACTGACTGACTGGCCGACTCGTCTTCTTCTCCTACTGCCTCCGATACAACACATTCTTCTTCTTCTTCGTGGCATCACTGGAGATCGCTCTCCTCTCCCTCGCCGTGTTTTCTGGGGCTGTTTTCTACCTGAAAGTGCAGCTGAATATTTTTGTAAAACACGCTCGGGGGAAAAATGGATGTTCTACCCATGTGCAGCATCTTTCAAGAACTTCAGATAGTTCACGACACGGGCTATTTCTCCGCCTTACCGTCACTGGAGGAGTACTGGCAGCAGGTGAATATTTTTTTTTCTTTTTTTTTTTTTTCTACATTTGTGGTAAAAGTCGGAACTGGTCGTGAAGTTTAAAAATGCCCCCCGTCGTGACTTTACGGGTTTGCTTTACGCAGGTTTGCCCCCGGTGGTTAGACGGCAGCCCCGTTCATTCAGCAGTCATTCAGTCAGTGTCGTTAGGAAGTTTTTGGCAGGCTGAAGTGGATCAGTGTGTCAGTCTGACAGCTGGAGTGGAGGCTCTGCTGCTGCGCCAACATGAATGGAGAGAGAGAGAGCAGCGTGCTGTTTCTGCTGTGATATTATCAGACACTTTTTTTAAACTACAGAGCTGCCTTCACTTCTACATGTGTCCTCTCTAATACAGGAGGAAGTGTCATTCAAATTGCAATCAGATAACAGGTTTGACTTTTGCAGATGTGTGTTTTCCGGCTTTTTCATGGCGCTGTCTTGGCATTTTACATACATATTGATTCCTTCCCTTAAAGCGATCCTGTTTGTATCCTCACCATCATGCGTCAGCCAATGTGTCCAATTCGTGCGTGCACGAGTAGACACTGGGCCTGCTGATTGTCAGTCATTCAGAGATGATTTTCTACTTCTCATCATTTAGTCTGTTAAATGTGAGAAAGTTGAGGAAAGAGGTCGTCACAGCCTCAGATCCAGAGGAATATCTTTTTGAATTTCTTCTTTTATTAAGTAAAGAATTCAAAACTAAAAGATCTTTCATGTAGTTGGTTTTTAATGTTCTTTGAATGGATTGAGCTCTGCTGCCTCGATATGTGATGAGGAAATGACTTGCAAGAACTAAATGATATTGAAGTTTTGCTCATAATGTAAGGGTAAGGCCACAGCTCAGGACAGGAAACACTGCATGTGTGCATACAAACATTTCTTCACTGCAGCCTTTTGCAGAAGGCTTGGTTCATGGTTAAATATCACGCTGGTGGAGTGATTGTGCAGACCTTCACGAGCCCAGGTTGGCACAGCTGCAGGAGCCGACACAGACATGTTTACTCTTCATCTACATCCTCCTCGTCCCGCCTGCCGTCTGCGAGCACCTTCTAATGAACGCTTTTTTAAAAACTTTAACGGCCTCTGAAGTCAACCGGAGCCACTTCATCTTTTACGATAGAGACTCATGAGGAAGGATGTGATTGCATGTCAGAGGTACGCATGAGGAAGAGCGGCTGAATGGCTCATGCTGGAGAGAGGAAGAGAGACAGAGGGAGGAGGAGGGGGGGGGGCGGGGGTGGAAGTTGAGCGGCTTCCTTAAAAGGACTCTAAATTTGTTCAGTGAGTCATTGGAGCGCTGAAATGACAATGCATGTTTAGTGTCCGCCTGCAGATCTCAGGTGATGTGTTCAACTCGAGCTCTCCTGCACCTGAGTCATCTAGAGAGGCTGGAGCATGAGCTGATATTTGACCTGAGGCCTCAGTTAACCCCAATCACAGAGTTCAGAGTCATAAAATGAGATTTCTTTTTTTGACATTTTGTTTCATGAGAATGAAACCAACTTGACATGACTTCAAAAGCCCAGATAGTCAGAACATTCCCTCCTTTTTATGATTTTAGTTGACAGAGTGTGCCATCTTGAGTTCCCAGAGCCCAAGCTAAATCTGAAAAAGCAGAAGCTGGAATCTGCTCATATTTGGCATTCATTGCTTTACATTCTTGTTGCTTTAATAATTATTCATAGCACTCATATTCACATTCACAGCCCCAAACGGAGCCTGATCCACGATAAAAAGAGAAGCCGTTACAGCTCCAGTTTCTTGGTTACCGCTTCCTGCTGTAAGCATTTAACAAATATTACAGCACACAGGGCGTTTTGTGCACATGCATCATTTAGAAGGATTCCCCACACAGAATCCTTCTGCAGCTGTGGATGAGCTTCCTCTCTGCAGGGGAGCTGCTGTTCTACTTCCTGTATTCTGACTCTGTTTTTTCTCTCTACCTGCATGCAGACATGCCTGGAGCTGGAGCGCTACCTGCAGAGCGAGCCTTACGTCTCCACGTCCGACCTGAAGTTCGACAGCCAGGAGGACCTCTGGAGCAAGCTGATCCTGGCGTGCGGGGACAAGGCCAAGTCTGAGTGTGACCCCACGATGCCCCGCGCCCACGACGAGGACAATCAGGACAGCCAAATCTTGGAAACCAACAGTGTGAATTCCGACGCCAGCAGCGAAGCTTCGGACAGTTCCGAGGAGCTCTCGCCCACACACAGCTTTACCTCCAACCCCCTCGGCTCCGTCCTGGTCGGCTCTGGACCTTTTAGCCCCTCCGTTATTAGCACGCCGCCGTCCTCTCCGGAGGCCAGCTCGGAGCCCGGCAGCGTGACGAACCGCTGGGTGGCAGAACACGCGGAGCTACACTTGCCGGTCAAAATCAGGAGCGCGGGGGTGGCAAAAAGCACGGAAAAGACGGGACTGATCTGCGGAGAGGCTTCACCTGACGGCAGGAGGAGGATACACCGGTGTCAGTTCAACGGGTGTCGCAAGGTTTACACGAAGAGCTCGCACCTAAAAGCACACCAGCGCACTCATACAGGTGAGCTCATTGTGACCACGTGTGTGGAAGGAGGGATGGTGTGAGGGATTTCTCTGACGTTTTCAAACACAAGCGGCTCACTCAGAGGAAAGAAAACCTTCACTTTTATTGAGTGAGTGGCGACAGGAAGAGCTTAAAATTCAGTCTTCAACCTTAATGGAACGGTCCAGCCATTGTGTAATGTAATTAAAAGGTCCACATTGCATGATGTCCTCAGCTGGAGCTGCAGTGAGTATTAGCTCCGCATGGCTGGATACCTAAACTGTGACCTAATCTATCTGGAATGTGACTGACTGAGCCAGTGAGTGAGCGAGGGAGGGAGAGAGAGAGAGAGAGAGAGGAGGGGGGAGGGGCTGCACATGGAAGATAAAAGGACTTCAAAACAGATTGAGTTTCACCATGGGAATGGGGTGAATGGGTGGGGGGAGCCAGGGGGCACAGAGTCAGAGGAGGCTCTGAATGGTCATTTCTTCTTTCTATTTTGATTAGCGTGAAATCGCTCGTGTGCTTTTTTCCTTTTTTTTGTGTTTTGTTTTCTGTTTTTATTTTCTGCACATTTTAATCTTGCACCGAGCATTCTCAGCATGTCTCAGGTTGCGTAAACCCGGAGCGAGTAGTCCAGCAGGTTCAGTGGAATCTGGATCACTTATGTCATGTCATCCAGCCGTGGCCTCGGGGTGATTGATCTGAACGTATTTCAATAACAAAAGGCTCAGAGCCGACCAATCACACTCTGCATTCCTTCTGTCCCCATGTGAGCTCCATTAATCTCCCCCCCCCCCTCCTTCTTTTTTTGCCCCTGCAGGTGAGAAACCGTACAGGTGTTCATGGGAGGGCTGCGAGTGGCGTTTTGCACGAAGCGACGAGCTGACCAGACACTTCAGGAAGCACACCGGGGCGAAACCATTCAAATGTAGTCACTGTGACAGGTGAGCCTTCAGACCACAGACACACTCATGACGTGCTTTATTCATGCATCGTTCAGATAACAAGACGTCTTCAAAGTTTGTTAACCCCTGATTAGGGCCGTGTGTTGACATGAACCTGGCTGCTCAAACCTTTATCACAATGTCTAAAATTCAATCTGTAGCGCTACTTCAAGAAAGATGACCACTGCAATTTGTGCGTCTAGCTTTAGCGCAAATTATCACCACATAAAAAGACACAGTGTCATATTTACAAACTCTATTTTTATCCAATCAGAACAGTCTCTCCAACATCTCAGCTGTAAAAGCAACACTTTTCATCCTAAGGAAAAGAAGCAACAATTTCCTGTTTTAGTTCAAATAATCTTTGCATACATGTCTGACCTTACGGGGGGTTTTAATTACTGCTGCTGACGTAGCTGAGCTGATGAGAACTCATATGTTGATTTTGCACAGAGTTGACTGACATGGCGCTCAGGATGATGTTGCTTTCTTAAACAGCTAACCTTTACACATAGAATCTAACATGAGTGCACATCGTCAACGAGTCTAACTGCAGATCTAGTGTCTGCTTAAATGTGAAGCTCTGATGTGTGTGTTCAATTCAGAACCTTTTCTGCTGCTCAATGACACCATTTTTAAATCACTCAAAGAGCTGTGTTTTCTGCATTTTATACACTGACACTGGAGACTGGTGATTCACCGATAAATAGATTCATTGATCTTCTAGGTAATGAGCATGCAAACTTAATATTGTGATCCTTTTAAATTCTTTAACCTCCTAAACCTCCTCTTGGTCGAAGAAAGCCAGTATCAGTCGGCTGTGATAGTCATGAATCAAGAGGTTATGAGGAGTTCATCCACTTCTTCTTGGTTGGATTACGATGATTCGGTTATGAGTTTATATGGAATTAGGAAGAATACAATCATGGGCCAAACCGCTCTCAAATTGTTCTTTTCTTTTGAAGCACAGACATTCAAAATCACTGTTGCATGAAGCCTAATACAAAACTTGTTTCATTCATTCCGTCGCCCACCAATGGCCTTTGTTTTCCTCGTGACTCACCTCCTCCCCCCCTCCTCCTTCTCCTCCTCTCTCCTCCAGATGTTTCTCCAGGTCCGACCATCTGGCCCTCCACATGAAGAGGCACATCTAAAGCAGGAGGGGTGGGGGTGGGGGGGCGAGCACCAACCAAGCAACGCAGCGAAAGTTTTTAAAAAGAACAAAAAAAAAAAAAAAACTTAAGCGCCGTCTCCCGACCATTGTTCTTGGTTGAACTGTCCCAGAGCAGAGTGGCGGGAGTGTGTTCCAGCCAAAGCATGCCGTTTTGCACCATACTGAAACCCAGTGCCTCCGGGACCTCTCTTTGGAGAAAAGGCGCTCTTGAAGGTCGTCTGTTGCAACAAGAGGACAAAATCACGGACGAGGAAGAAGAACTCTTTTTGATTCTGAGAAGGACATACAAACAAAAAAAGACAAAAAAAAGATGGAGTGAATGATTTGTATGTATGGTGCATGATGTTTTGGGGACATCTCCCGGACAGCAGATACACTGGTACTTTATGAAACTGTCTGAGGTAAGCATGTGTGCACTGTGAATGTCTGAGATTGGATCACCAGCCCCCCGAGGAGAGAAGATTTTTTTTTGAGAGAAGAGATGGATCGATTGATGGATGGATAGACGGAGCGGGGCTGGCTCTAATGTTGCTGTGGACTGAGTGGGTTTCTGGGGGACGGTTGTGCTCCCCCAGGAGGCAGGATGGAGGTTCCTGCCTGTCTGTCTGGCACCCAGACCAGGGACGGGGGGGTTCTCCGAAGCTTTTGAGGCCTTGGGTTTGTGACTCTTGGACCCAAACTCCCCCCTCCCCCCTGGTCACCGTATGACAGGAGCTTTTCTTTGGTGTTTTTTGGTGCAGCTACTAAATGTGCAATGTGTTATGTAGCCTGGTTTATTATTTTTTTACAAGCTACAAAGCTCATTTGTAGTCCAATTGTATAAGCTGTGTGCTTAGAGGTATAACACAACTATACTATAACTTCAGTATCATAGACAGGTGTTGCATGGTTCTAGGGTTTGTTCATTTCATGTTTCCACTGTAATCAGGACTGCAAATAGTTTGAATAAAAGTGCAGCTAAAGTGCGAACGGTTAAATGTTACAATATTGTACATAAAGCCTTGATGATTTCCTCTTTTAGTTTTCACCCTCACTCTCATCCGGCTGGAGATTTCACCCCTGCTTCTTCATGTTCTCATTCATCATAAGCCTTCAGGAGTTGATTTTTGTACTTTTTCTTTTTCTATCTAATAATGCACTGTTGACCTTAATGGTGCCTTATGCAAGTGACTCAGCCCGGAGGCAGCAGGGGGGGAGGGATTTTATTTTTGCTCCCTCTAGAAGTCACACTTGTTGTTTGGGTGATTTGACAAGCTCGATCAAGGCTCAATTACAGATTACCTCGCACCTCTTTATGTTTAATGATGGTTGTTTTTCAACCATTTCCAGCGTTAGTTGTCTTGTAAAAGTGGAAATGTTCACTAAATGCACCTTTTCTCAGCCGATTGATTTTTTTTGTTTGTTTTTGAATCAGAGCACCAGTTTAGTTGAAGTCAGAGCATGCAGACGGGACACACGCTGTATGTTTAGAGCACTTAAATTCATTTATTAAAGATGTTAACTACTGTGTAGTATGTTCTCAAGTCCATTACTCACAGTTGTGAGGCCGAGCTGCACAAGTAGTCAGTAGAGCATTAAAAAAGGAAACTATATTAGCGATCCAGCAGACATGTTTCAAGCTAAAGCTATTATCCTTTGCTAATTTGAGCTTCCTAAATGTGAAGATTTGCTGTTTTTCTTTGTCATTTTGTCACAGAATGAAGAATTTTGGGGATTGACTTATCGACCCAAATGATTAACCTTGAAATAATGGTGAGTTGCAGCCCAACTCTGAGGTACAAAAACAACCAGCGTAGATGAACAAAAATGGCTTTTTGCATGTGGTTTAGAAGCTCCTTTCCCCCACCATCACCATCCTCTCCCTCCTGTCCCCACTTTGTCCCTGCAAGTGGGACTGAAGAAAACACTAAAGATTTATTGTAATTAACAGGCTGCAGTCGGACAGGCCTCGCCTTGTACTGCCTCTCAGTAATGAATTGCTAAAGGCTTTGTTGGCATGGAATCTGTCACAGACTGCTGACTGTGTAGGTTGGTTATTGACCAGTCTGGGGAGCGTTGTTTTAGCCGAGCTGCTACAGTGTTATGAAAACCACAGAGAGGGAGGAGATAACAGATCAAACATTGACGGTGCAGGTGGAAATTTGTCAAAAATCCCATGACAGCATCCCCCTTTGAGGGGAATCTAGATTGTATTGGAGGTGGAGGGAGTGCATGATGACTGCAGGGACTCGGCACTGTTTCAGCTTGAACCGATCCACTCGAGTTCAGACACCTTGCTGTAAGAGTTCGATGTTGCAGCACGTTGTACCGCGGCATGCTACAACTTATGGATTTCAGATCGGCGGGTGGAGGAGACGGGATGAGTACAAACTTGAAACTGCTTGCTGCGATAGATTTGGGAGTTGCTGGCGCAGCCTTTTGTGGCCGAGAGGAAAAGAACATCCATTCAATGAAAACAGAAGCCGATACCGTTCGAGCCGTAATTGAGCCTTGATTTAGCTCCATGTTTGCTCGCATCTTTTACACTTTTCATCATCTTTCATCCCACAACTACCCAAACTCTTCTGTCACACACACACACACACACACCAACACACACAAACACACAGCTCTTTGTTCTCAACTGAATCTTTGTATAAAACGATAAAAAACACAACTTTTGTAAAATTGTTATGTTTATGCTTTATGAAATTTTTATTTGAAATTGTTTTGCAAAATTGTTATATTTCTGTATGAATGTATTTTTTATTGGAATAATAAGAAATTCTTATCTGACTTTGGCTCGTTTCTTTTCTCTTTCGCTTCTCCACGTATCCAAGTACTGGAGCCACTTTACAAGGAACTTAAAGAGTCCTTCACATTTATTTCATGTGTTTCTTCAAGTGCCTGAAGACTCCTACACGGAGCAGATTTTAAGTTAAGACCACTACTGAAAAACTATTTTTCCCTGTGATTAGAAGGAAAATGTCCCTCTCTAAAAAAACAAATAACTTAAAGTCATTTGCAGTTTGATTTTTATCCCCTGGTTAAAAATTGGCCGAAACCTCAACGCTGTTATGGTCTAAGTGAGTGACACGCCCCCTGAACACAAGATGATGATTTTTCAGTGATATTTATGGTCTTGGTCTCACCTGCCTTAGTCTTGGTCTTGTCTCGGTCTCTGAGCACTCTGGTCTCGGGTATGTCTTGCTCTCGGTTAAAGTGGTCTTGACTACAACACTAACTCCAGCACACACCAGGATTGTTTGGATTGACCTTAAAAAGTTTCATGCATACATTGGATTCACAGAGTGGCTTCGTTTCCTTAATAATCTTAAATAATAAATAATTTTGTGTTGCTACAAATTTTTAATTATGGGGGAAATAAAATGCTGAGTGCTCAACCAATCACATTTTTCAAAAATCCAAAACAAAAAGCTTTATCCACTTGCACATCAGGTATGTAGTACAGTTCTTTTTGTTAAAGCTTAAATAACTATAATTATCTTGCTGCAGAGGTAATAGTCTTCATTGCAGCTGCCATTGGTTGAAGTCTTTCCTTCCCTGCACATCATCCCCGCTCTCTCCTCTCATCATTTCCTGTCTGTCTTCAGCTGTCCTCTCACAAGTGGGAGTATTACCTAACGTAGTTTATGTGGTCTAACAAAACACCAACATCTCTTCAGCTTGTGTTAACCACAGACCTTATTTCAGGCGTCTAACCACAAACACATTCAAAATCCACATTGACTTTTAGATGTAGACCCCATGGAGCTCAAACGCTAACTTACTTCAGGGTTTTAGGACTCATTCCCATGGCGCAATATTTACAGTCTATGGTGGTGCTCTATAAGGGCAGAAAAATCAGTCCATGAAAATAGATTTTTACAACACAAATATTTGTTAAGCTAGCTTTATACCGAAAATGAGGCTTGTTAGCATACTGTGTGTTTTCCTGTCCTGGTTCCAGTTGTTGACTGTTTCCAAGCTTTCCGCCATTTTTGAAACCTCACACAAACATCACAACTCAGCAACTCAATTTCCCACTTCTAATGAAGACTTTGGAGGGCAGTTAATGTGCACGTAAATCGTAAGAACAGTAAATACGACATTTATTCAAATTTAATTATTTTTAAATTTCATTTTTTATTTTTTTGTGACAGAAATTAAAAAATAATAACTTATCCTGTGAGCAAAAGTTTAAGAAAAAAGAAGAAAAATATGGAAATGCTCATTATAATAATTTTGTTATTAATGTTTTAATGAGAAAAGGGGTTTGATGGAGCCAGAAACGTTTCAGATCGGCCTAAATTTACGTTTTAATAAAAAACTCTTATCTCCCATAATCCCCCGCGGTAGCGAGAGAGGTAAGGTCAAGTGAGGGCGGAAGAAGATTAATCAATATACTTAACAACCAAAGGGAGGTGCGGAGACATAAAAGATGAAATAATGAAGACGACTTTGTTGGCTAAGGGTGCGAAAAGAGCAAAAATAACGGATTTATCGTCGAAACATCCAACTTTGTGGATGCGAGTGAAGCTAGCTACAGCTTCAGCTAGCAGTGCTAACATTAGCATGAATGACGACACGGACATCTCAGAGACAAACACAGACAGTGAAGGACACAAACATGAGGAAAATGGTGAATAATCCGACATGGACACTGGACTTGTGAAATGTTTAACAGACAAAAAACACTTTTGGAAAGTGGTTAGCTGGAGGCGGAGGTGGGCTAACTGCGGTTTTGTCTGGCGCCCAAATCCTAACACACTGGAACTATTTTTTTGCCGGCGGATGGATTGGTTAACAAGTTGTTTCTGCGCAGCACAATGTTACCAGGTGAGCTGTCAGGCAGTGTGCCTGGTGTTTACAAAAAAACCCGGGACAAATCCTTAATTGATGGCTGTAGGTGTTGGAGGCTGATACACCAGAGGCTTAAAAAGCATGGAAAACTCATATCGGATGTACAAAGGCAAACTGTTCATGTGTGGCTAAGCAGACATCAATATGCTGAAGAGGGCCATCAGATAGAAATAGAAGAAGAAGCTGATCTGGTGTGTAAACTATTTGATCCTGCAGGAGTTGAACTTGCATGCATGAGGCCTTTTGTTCACCCTCTCCTGCATGTGAGGGAAGTTTCTCCACATTCAAGTTTATCAAGCATCGCCTCAGGAGCAGGATGTCACAGGACAATATGGAAACCTTAACAATGAGGTCAACGGAACAATAGATCCTGATGAATCTGGACTGGACTCTGATGATGTGATTGACAGGATGCAGAGAAAAGCGAACTCCTGTAAGGCTTGTTTACTACATGAAGGTAAGAAACAGTTACCGTAATGTTCACTGTGGCTGTACAGTGCTTTTTCATATTCTCATGAAATTCAGTTTGTGTTTTTATTGGAACTTTTTCATTATTATGTAGTGGCCTGAAAAAAGCTAAATATTGGGGGTGAAAGATACTGTTGAACCCCTGTGTCTGTGCTGCTTGTTTCCTTTATGTGGAACGTATCATGCTGTAGCTCCGTTTCCTCTAACACTCTTGGATTGAGTTAAATCATCAGTGACTGTAGTGGTTATGTCGTATTGTCGTTTGTGTGTTCTGTGTTGAACATTTCTCTGTTTTTGTCAGTCTGTAAGGTTTTAGCTCAACCCTTTTTGGGTTGGAGATGGTTTTGAAACATGGGGCCGGTCTGTTGCAGATGCCAGAGCCTTTTTTTTAATCCCAGTCAGCTACTGCTTGGAATTCAATGTATCTGTTGAAAAGATGTCCTCTAAAAGTTGTTGTTTTCCTCCCTGATAGACTCAGATTGTTATTCTAAGTGTCTGACAACATTACAGAAAGATCCTATCCCTACAGAGAGAGACCCTTTGAGGAAGAGGAAGACATATTTTTCCATCCATTGACAAAAACGGTTACAGAAAGAGTTGCTGATCTGCACTGCCTTTAAATTCACATTGTTGTTTGATGCATAAATGTTGTGCTGGATGCCTTCTAATCCTAAAACACAATATCACAAAAAACCTGATCGACTGAGACCGTGTCTCTCCCATCTTCTGCTGGGTTAAAATACTTGATTTTGACAATGTAGTGCGGTGGTTTTTAAAGAACATGATGCTGTTTCTGGTTGCAAAAGGGTTCTGCTCTTTAGCACAACGGTCTGTCTCTGCAGGGATCATTTCTGTAATGTTGTCTGACAATTAAACAATCTGAGCGTGTCAGACACTAAATTACCTTTTCTTTTAGTGGACACACTTTGATCAGCATCCAGGATTATTTTGCAGCCCTAACAGCCTGTTTCTCTGCTGCAGGCTGAAGATATCCACTGTGGCAGTCTCAAGGCTTTTTAAAATTTATACACAAAAATATCCAAACATGGAGCCCAGGTATAAAAGTAGTTGTAGTTTGCTTTAATTAAACACTTTCTCTGTGCGTTGTGAATTCTTTAACAGCTGCAACAAACAGCCTCACCTCTTCCTGACTTTTAAATACCATGACGGAGAAAATTGCATCTTTTGAGAAACTGGTTGC